GTTAGCAGATTCTGTTTTCCAGCATAGTGCCTAAAGAATATATGTTAATCACAAGCAAGTCCTATAGCTCAAATACGATGTCATAAAGAATCTGTACAGACACTAGTTAAGTGCATATAAAATAACCCTTTCAAAACCCGAGCAAGTCTCTTGCCACTCAGGTATATTACTTTATTTATATGCATCCTAAACTTTTAGATTTGAGCATGTGATTGTTCAAGGAAATGTTACAAAAATTACCAAAATAATTTTGTACTCATGAGCTTGGAATGTAATTTATATTCAACATACACTTTTTTCCAGAAGTTTTAGTAGAAACAAAGAGAGCAATCACATTTCATTTCATTAAGAATTACTTACAACACCAAGATTCTTCAAATGAACATAAAAACATAGAGAAATATGATGATTCTACAACTGTCTTACCTTTATATCTCCTTCATTGAATTCCCATGGTAACTGGCCTACAAACAACTGATGAGAATCTGGCCACTTCTGAGTGCCAGGCAATTCTGAAACAATGAAAATGTACACATTCTTGAATGTTCATTTTAAAATTGGAAGCAAATGACTGTCAGGCTTAGTAACTTAGTTGCTAGCTTGCATTAATTACCTTCAGCTGTGAGAAGTGGATAAATTTTCTGATGTCTAACTTGATCTGGGTGACATGACTATCATGTCATGAAAAAATTTGGTTTGAGGGTGGGTGTCAAGGACAATCTGGCTGTGGGTTGAGTGACACGAACTTGCAGTCATGAGTGATTTGAATGAAGACCAGGGTGACGGAAAAGACTCACCACAAATGCACAAACCACTAGGAAGGTGATTAGACTCAAGTGTTGTTTAGAAAAAAAGCTTTTGCATTATTCCCACTGATAAACAAGAGAGGATGCCACTTCCATGCTCAGCATCCTATTCCTGGTTGCCGTGACCAGCAGCACAGGTTGTATTACAGAAAACAAAATATTATATAAAAAAAATTTAAAAGGACAAAAATAGCAAAATGTTCCATATACTTATTTTGTTTAGAGGGATGATGTAGAGTCTGTGCATGGAAAACAAAGTTATCAATGCCTCCCCTTTCCAATATTATTTCCTCTTATGCATAAGAATTTTCTAATGTCCATATTTGTTATTTGATTTGCTTTATCCATATGGTAATAGACTGTTTTCCTTGCACAGACTCCATATCATTCCTCTAGGTAGTCCATAACTCAGTGCAAAACAAAATATTTAAGATTTTGTTATTATTTTATAATGTTCAATTTTCTGTAATACTACCTGCACCACAGGTTACAGCAACCAAGAAGAGGATGCAGAGCATAGAAATGGCATCCTCTCAGGAGTCAACACTCTTCCAGTCATGGCTCACGGAAAGTTTACTCCACACTACTTTATCTATGGACATAATGCAAAAGCCTCTTTCTACACACTAAATGAGTCTATTCACCCTCAAAAAAGGTTTATGGCAAGTCTTTTCCACCACCTCAGGCTTCAGCCAAAACACTCATGATAGTAAGCTTGCGTCACCCAGCTCACGCCAGATTTCCCTTCCTCTCAAGCCAAATTTTTTCAAGACGTGACGGTCACATCACCTGGATCAAAGGGATTAATTTTGTTAACACAGAGACAGCTTTACAAGTGCTCAGTTACAAAGGAATCAATATATTATTTTCTTCTGGTGATTTTTATTAGATGGTCTGATTCATCCACTATGAACTGAAAAATACTTAAACAAGAACCTCTATAAATTTTATCAAGAATAAAACATTAATTTCAAAGAAAGGAACGTGATTACCATACATTAGCTTTATAATACCAAAAAATTAAGTTTAAAAAGTCACATTTACAAAAGGTCGAAGCAAAAGAGGTAACAATAATCAAAACCCGTTTTAAATACTGAGGTCGAGTGCTTATCCTTGCCTGGGGTAGTGGACGGCTGCGCTGGAGTTGCTCGCTTTGGAATAGCACCCCCAGTGAAAGCCAATGGATTAACCCCATTGTGCAAATACAAAGGACGGGTATCTAGAGGAGTAGGTGTTGCACCCATGTGAAGAGGTGGTCCAATGGGTGTTGGCAGTAAGGCTTTTGTACCAGGTGGACCTGGTACCGGCTGCGGGGATGAGGAACTGGAATTTCCTGGTCGATTCACGGCCTGCTCTCCAATGGGTAGTTTTGGCATTGGCTTGCTGCCCATCTTTTGCTACAAAAGAATACTGAACTTAATAATCCAAACTCACACAATAAACAAGTACATACTATAATAACATCAAATTCACAAACAGCTTATATAGGTAAGAATGGAAGAAGACAAGACAAGACAAGACAAGACAAGACAAGACAAGACAAGACAAGACAAGACAAGACAAGACAAGACAAGACAAGACAAGACAAGACAAGACAAGACAAGAAGAAGACAAGACAGACAAGACAAGACAAGACAGACAAGACAAGACAAGACAAGACAAGACAAGACAAGACAAGACAAGACAAGACAAGA